ACATTACAGAAGTTGAATGACGAGGCACATGTGCACTCATGTCATCGTATCCAAGAATATAAAACTAGTATTTACAAAGTGACCTGTCTTAGCTGTGTTCTAGTGGACCAGTATTTTGTACAATGCTATCACATTTCAGTTATAATATATATATATATATATATATATATATATAGATTATTACTATTTACAAATAAGTTCTTAAATTTCAGTTTTCTTAAAACATAGAACAGTAAATAAAGAAGTATAGAAAACAATTATCACTTCTAGTTACAAACTTTGTACTTATTTGCTGCTTGCCATAAGTTGCTAAGCCTTATCAAATTCTGCACGTGAAGTATGTAAAACAAAATTTCTTTTAGATTTTATACATGCATTTTGAAGTAACAAAAAATCAACAGGTGAACAGTAAATGATTAATTTTTGGTATTTTCATTGTTGTCCTTTATATCACCTATATATGTATACATACACACACACACCAAAATTCTGAACAATATTTAATAAATGGTAAATTACTGTTTAGTGTGCTGCATTTGTATATAACTTATTACTTATGTAGCTAATATTACTTCTCTCTCTTTGAATAAGGCATGACCCTGCCTTACTGACTTTCTCAAACATTGGAGGAATGATGGTTTACAGCACATATTGCATTCCCTAACTCCTGTTTACAATGTGACAGTCTAGCAAGCTTATATCTGCCCACCAATTAGGGTGCATAAAGGCTACTAAATTCAACACAAACAAATTTCAAGGTTAATTATTATACTACTGCCTGGAGAAACTAATGATACCAGGCTGTGCACCATTAAGGTTTTAATTTAACATTAGTGTGGCCCATCGATATTCATTTTGAATTTTTATCAGATAAATAAAACATGTAGTACTTTATAATTTTACTTTTAAAAATAAGTCATCAAATCTAATTTTGTTTATGACTCTTTGTACATGCAATTCTCAATTTTTATATAGCAGTGCATGAGTTTCTGATAAAAGTAATAAGAGGGAATCCTCAACAGCCACGGCACTTGAAAATACTTTAGGCAGGATTAGAGTAAATTAATCTATGAGACCTGGGGCATGGTGAAATACATCAATCGAAAGGGTTTGACCTCCTGAATCTAAAACTAAATACATCTCAAACTCGTCAAGATATGATGAAGCTATGAGCTAAAAGTCTGTATTTGAAAAAAAACTTGGAGCTATTCTGAGATGCTATGCTGCAGGTAAAAATAATAAGGTATTGAAATAAGTACAATTTCACATAAATATATAACACAATATTTAAAGAAAATGGAAATAGTACACACAATACTTTAATGAAGTTAACTCAGTATTATCAAGTGTAAAAAAAAGTAAGAATTCAAATGGTGAAATCAGGAGTTTATATATATATAAATTTGCTGTTTGGATCAGAACCATTTTAAAGGGATATAGCTGTGGAAATCTTGAGATATCTTTTGATTTTTCTAATGGAAGAACCATTTTCATGGTTTAAAAGTTTGTCTGTTTCAGTTAGATTAAAGTTGTTACAGGTATTTGAATGTTCACGAATAAGAGGTTTGTGTTCATTACATATAGTCTATATTTCCTGTCATTTCTCCAATATACCTAGCATTAAAAAAATTGCATTCTGTTTGATATATTACTTTATTTGCATTTGATAAGTTTTTGCCAAGTGTTTGATCAATGTTTCTAAGAACTTTATATTGCTGTTCAAGTTATATTCTTTTGAAATTTGGTTCAGAATTCTTATTAAACTAATAACAAGACCAATTTGCATAAAAATTTTGTTATAATGTTTTACAGCTAATTATTAGTTCATTTACAGATTTTTCTTTATGATACTATTTTAACATTATTGTCACCAAAAAGTTATTGAATAAAATATCCTACTTATGTCAGTTACATTGAAACTTTATTTTTAGGGCAAAGCTACACAATGGGTTATTTGCATTCTGTTCACATGGGGAATCAAACACTGGCTTCTAGCATTGTAAGTTCTAAAACTTACTGGTGATCTACCAGGGGACTATACTAAAATAAATCAAATGTTTTAATTAAAGTAATTACTTTATTTTATCATACATTTTTGAAATAAAAATATGCATTTTCTGTTTTGGCTTCTCTACATAAAGATATTTAGCACTTTCTTTTTTCAAGATAAAGGTCTTTCCCTTTCTTGCTGCTCAAAGGTGACATTGAACTTGACTAATCTAACAAGAACAAGCTAGTTTGCTAAATGTTGTGAGTTAAAGTAACCAAGATCACAGAGTAGATCATGTGATAACAGCTTCACCACAACCAAGAACTAGTAACCTAAGTACTTGTCTAATCTTAATGGCAGATATTGTTTGTCACATTCTAAAGCCACAAGCCATGTTAGGATTAGCCAATTGACACCATGGAAAGTTTATATACACTTTTACAATTGATAGAAAATTATATGCTACCTATTTTCCTATATTCAGCTTTTCTATGGATATAAAAAAAGAAATGAACTCAACTAGTTTCATCTCATATCTGATATATTTTGTATGTTTATTTCAGTTTTACACCAACGAGAACTGAATATACAAGTGTTGATAGCACTTGGAAAATTTCTTTGTATAATTTTCAAATATTCCAAGCCTAAGAACTTGATAGTACAAGATACTACCAAGCTTTTGTAGTTTGAAATTCTGAGACAAAGCAATGCAATTTTACACAAAAATCTAGATATTATAATAAAGAAATGATTTATGAGAATGGCAAATCCAATATGGAAACCATAAAGTGTAAACAAAGTATATGATAACAAGATAGCCTAGTTGCTTTGTGCCAATAAATGCCAAACAATCAACAAAAACAAGTAACACAAGGTTTGTTATCATGTGTGTTTCAAGAGCTAACACAAGGTTTGTTATCATGTGTGTTTCAAGAGCTAATATGGTGGTCTACACAATTCTGTTACAACTTTTACATTGAAATGTGATGTATGCAGTTAGGTGTAACAAACTGAATACTGACATAATTACAATTCAGCTTATTCTGACTGACTTGGGGTCTCGGATTTGGACTATATGAAATATTCCCCAAGTAGGTGAACAAATGAACCTTGATGCTTTTTTTAAATTTTAGCAAATTCAAGACCTGACCACAGTCTTCAAATTTTTTTAAATACAACATGGTTATGACAAGTGGAAATAAAAGTATTAAGATCAAACATAATATTTTAATACTATAAGTAAATCCATACATTAAGTAACCTTTACATATGGCCTACAAATACCCCTTTCACTACATGGGGGTATATTCAACTTTGATTGTTATAAAGATGTGTACATGGAGTTTTTATTAATCAAATGGTGCTGCAATACATCTTAATTTCAAAAGCCATGCAAGGTTTTTTCAAAATTTGTGCAAATACAACGCAATGTATTTCTTTACTTATGTATTTTTTAATCTAATAAATAATTTGATAATATGATAATTTTAGAATTATATATTTTGTTTTTGTTCTTTTCACATTAAATCAAACATTTCTTGTGAACAATCCAAGTTTAAAAATTCATACACATATAAGGTAAATAAAAATATAAAACTACCATTTACTTTGAAAACCTCAAAACTTTATGAAACAGTGAGGTAATTTCAGAGAAACTTTGAAAAAACAATTTCAAGTACCAAACACTGCATGCTCAGTTTATCACTTTATCATTGATCAAATTATTGAGTTATACTATTATTATGATGGCAGCAAGTCTTAGTATTGATAAAAGTAAATGAAAGAGTAACAGAAGAAAGAGCAGAATAAAATATGTTCTGAAAAATTGAACAAGATGCTTTAAAAAAAAATCATTTTAATGTTTATATTAGCCTTAAGACCTCCTATTTTTCCTTGACCTTATTGAAGTTTACAAGATCATCCATGGTAAGAGGACACAAGTTAAAGATTTGGAAAAGACAAACTATACTTCAGTTAAAACATTTACTAACTGAGTGATTAGTTTAGAGATTTGCTATTGACAGTAGTGGAGCCTTCACTTTACAAGTTTAAGGTAGGAATTACAGATACTGTGAAAAATAATGGATTGGTTTAATTTTTTTTTCAAGAGTGGGTGTGCAGGAACAGCCTTAAAGTATCAGATGATCCTCTGTTGTCCTTACGTTAAAATGCATAATCTGAAACAACATAAATAGTTAAATATTGAAAATGGCAACTCTCAATAAACAAAATAAAACAATCTTTGTTCATTAAACTGTTAAGCTTGTTTTACCTGCAGGCATTTTAGTGACGAAGCATACTTCAAAGACGTCCAATTCATCTGTGTTAAAAGCAAACTTTCCTTTGTCAATGTTTTCTCTTGAAAACAAAACTTGTCCTTTAGAGTCTGTCACCTAAAGATTGATACAGCAACATATTTTATTTAGTTCACAAAGAAATATTTTTGTGTTATTGATATTTTTTACCACATTATTTAAATTGTGAAGTCTTGGTTAAAAGGAAAATTGAGGCCCCAGTCTGTCCTTGTAACTACCACATGTCACTGAGTGGATCAGTTTTGAGAAATCTCACTAACTATGACTTTAATAAAAGCAAATAAAAAACATTTCTGTGGATCTTTTGTCCCAAATCACCTTTGAGTTCATTACCCAATTCACTAATTATAACTTATCTCTGGCTTCAAAACTGACTTTCTGAAAATTAGGAATTCAAATGTCACTTATTTTTATCTCAACATGGAGAGCAAAACCTCAAAACTAATTATGCAATTATCACTTTTCATCAAATGTTTCCTTATTTCAACTGTTGTATGTACATTGTTACTAGAGGTTAATAATAAATCTAAAATGACACCAATTATGATTGGCTCCATGACTATTTTGTTCAGAAAAATATTTTGAATCATTTAAAGACACCTCTCTCCCTTATTATTGGACTCCATACAATCCCAATCAATATGAAATTGGTCTCGCATAATTATTGCATCAGTATTCTTATTAATTCCAATCCCTGATCTCAATGAAAGTTTCTCACTGACATCATCTGCCTGATGAGGTTTTGTAGACGTGACAAAAGAGAAAAAGTTTCATTTAATTCTTTCAACATATATCAGACAAAAATAACTTGTCTATAAATTTTTAGAAACAGAAATTCGTAAATGCAAGAAAAGTATATAATTGCCTGTGTATACAATTTCATACTTGTTGTGCAAACAGTATAAAAACTGGCATAAAAATTTATATAAGCATACATATATTGTATCTAGAAAGCAAAATTTGTCAAATAGGTATGAAAAACTTTTAAAATGAAAACTGTATACATTTAAATAAACTTAAACTATGAAAGGACTTTAGACCAATGACAGTTCATTAAAATAGCTTTTATGAATTTTGCACTCCAGTACTAATAGTAATAAGTGTCAATACTGAAATAACTGATCACTAATTCTTCATAAAGATAATAATTAGGGTTACCAGAGTTCCACAGTGAAAAAAATTGACTTTTTCTTTTTCCCTCGCATACAGTTTCACTGTAATAACTTTGAAATAGTTTAAATTATAACAACACACTTTTTACCATTTTCGGAATAATACGATGCTTATTGCATCTTATTGAATTTTTAAACCTACAGAAAAATAAAATTTGTTAAAAGCTTAGCTAGTTAAAAAAAATGCTTAAGTAGTCTTAAACTTACTTCAAAGAAAAATGTTGCTGTTATTTTTTGGGGTCCGTGCTAAGTACGACATCTATAGTACAAGTAATTACTTATGATTTTTAAAAACAAAGTGACTTTATTAACGTAGTTTCCTTTTTTAAAACTAATCTAATAAATAAAGCACCAGGTAAATACATCTCTAACTGAAATTATAAACTCAATACTGTCTTTTTCCCTGAACCAATTTTCAAGATGAAGATATTAGGCTTAAAGTTAAATTTCACAATTAATTAATGACTTACTATTATATCAGTTTTCTGCCCAGGAGCGTCACTTAGTTCATACTCCCCTGTAACAAGAACTTTTTTTTCTATTTCTTCTTTCAGACAACGCCTACTATTTGGCGGTAGTTGTAGCATTAAAGAATCCACACTTATAGTTAAAAATATAAAAAAAAGACAAAAACTACAACACGCATACATGTTTTCCACACTTAACGAAAAGGTTAAGCCACTTCTCGTCAAGTTTCAACTACGTACTAGACCCACATCTATCACGAAGCTAACGTGGCACCACCACAGCAGTAGGCTACCGCTCATAACCTTTTCGGGTATTTTAGAAAAGGACGTCCTCTACAAAAAATACATTTTCAGAGTTATAAGAACCTTCTGAACAAAAATAAACGTAAGATTGGATTTAAAATGACAGTGTCCTTGAAGATACGAAACCGGTATTTATAATTTTATATATTAAATTTATATATTTAAAATTTGTGATATAAGATGTTTATAAAAACTAAGAACTTTATTTTGTTTCATTTTATTAAACACTTTCCTAAACAAAAAAAGGTTTGGTTTTAAAGCTGTTTACTGTTATTATTTATTTATTTATTCTTACCTATTATATTTAACGTAAGTATTATACTAATCCTAAAACAATTTGTAACAGTAGGTAAATACATTAAGTCCAAGTTAAGATTTTCGAGTAAAGTTGAAAGATGAAGCAAATTTTAGTCATCATAAAACGTATTATTAAACCAGTTAATGAATAGAAAACTTATATCTGTTCATTTGTTGCGTAGTGTTACTGCTAACATATGCGGTCATATCGTGCTTTTTACCTTTTTAATTATATATATAATTTTTTAAAATATTATTTTATTCGATATTTATGAGATTTTGAGTTCTTTTTCGCTAACTTTTATCTTAATTCCCTTTTATTTAGTTTTCGCACTGTTATGGCAACTACAAGTCGTCCAGAAAGTCATTATATTTCTTTATTCTCTAATAGGTGATGTCTTCTCTACTCACAGGGATATTTCAGTATCATGCAGCGTATAAAACTCACGACCGGTATAGCCAGGTGGTTAGGGCAATCAATTCGCAATCTGAGGTTCGAATCCCCGTCCCACTAAACATGCTCGCCCTTTTTAGCCGCGGGAGTTTTATAACTTGACGATCAATCCTACTATTCTTTGGTAAAAGAGTAGCCCAAGAGTTGGCGGTGGGTAGTGATGTATAATATTGGTATGAATAGAGCCCGCGGGCCCCTATTATTTTTAGCTAACTAGGCATTTAGGCTTAAATCGCCCCTGTCTGTAATGCACGTAAAGTTTCTTTCTATGAATGCTAGGTCGCTTTAACTATTTTGACTAACTCACAATCTTTATTTTTAATTACAAATAAGAGTGGTGAGTTAAACATACTCCCTCGTAGTGTAGTTCTAGAACTGTATATTAGTTAGTTTGACTTCGACTGCGTTTTGGAGAGAATAAAACTCGAAAGGTAGTAGCAAAATTATAGAAAACTGAAAAATCTGCTTCTACGTGTGTAACAACTTACCAGGTTTTTTGAATTGGATATTTTATACATATTATAAATAGAAATAAAATGTTAATGGAAAGTAACGATCGTTTGTTATTCGTAGAATGGCTATAAGAAGTAGCCAAAACAAAATAAATGCTGTAATAAAAAGTACACAAACAAGTATAGTTATACTAGTTGGATAGATTTTAAAATGATTTTCAATCTCTACCATACTTAATAATATTACTAGCTGACTGCCTGTCATATGATGGTAAATGCTGATTAATATTTCTTTTAAAGTTGAATCTAAATAAATGTTTTATAAAATATGTTTTCTAACAGTTAATTATATTATAGTAACAATATATGTATAAAGGATGTTTATCCTTTTTCTTGTATTTCATGAAAACAACATTTGTTGTTTATATTGGTCATCTCCTGTAAGTTGTCCTTGGTTAGAATTTTGAACTGCGTTTATTTTTATGTTATGTTCAAATCTTCATTTTTATAAAGCCTAATAGAATGAACCACGAGAAAAAAACTGGTTCTCCAAGAAATATACCTATATGATCAAACGTCTTAATCTGCGATTGATTACTTGTGATAGAAAAGGCAATGAATTTATGGTGAAGGGTAAATGCACGAAGGTATAACTTTTATTAATAAATGCTTATAAAATCTCATACCGAAGGTGAAAATTATCACTAACAATGTATTCTAGCATCATCTATGGGGTTGAAAATATAGTTAAGCTGTTTTTGACACACACAGTCACTGGTGTATCTATATAAAAAATAATAGTACTGTCTGTCGTCTGTTATATGTCCATGTAACTACTTCGCAGGGTGCGGATAGATATTCACCAAAATTTCCAGTTTTGCAATTTGCATTTTTTACCACTATCTCGCATCCTTTTGATGGAGCTTCACTAAATTTGGTATGGAGGTTCACTGGGTCCATGGGGAGATACATAAAAATATTCGGTTTCAAATTTTGTGTTTTGCAGTTTTTATGGACATTTTTACGTTTTTTTACAATTACATATAAGGGAAGCAACTTTCATGTCCTAATATTCATTAATCATGAATTTACATAACTTGCATCCAGGGGTTGTGCACTCCAGCTAGTGTATAATATTATTCGTACTTTTCCTAATATTCAAAGAGCATGTTGAAGATTTGATAACAAATATATTAAGAAATAAATATAATAATAAAAAAACTATTACATAAAATCCCAGCTCTACTAAGTTTGAACTTGACAATCCCACATGATAGTCGAGCACTATAACCACTTTGACGCCGAGTATTTGTGATCAAACGCTAGCAAATAATTCAAATTCCTAATGTAAACTATCATGTTATTGTGGTTTTTCCTTATATTCTAAAATCTTGCTCTAAACATGATCAGTTAATTATTTTGAAAAAGTTATAAAAATCTCCACTCAACTGAGATTTGAACTCAACATTTCCATTTGAGACAAATCACTGAGTCAGTTTGAACGTTTCCAACAGAAATCGAACGTTACCGACAAATGATGCGTTACGAACAAAGTGTGGCTTATATATATATTGATAATTAATTTATTGCACACGTTTTCTTTTTTTTTCTTAACAACTACTTGATTAACATATTTCATACTCGTACTGACACAAATATCGTCTTATTTTGTTGTCCATTCTTTCATTTTTCTTTGGCTAAATCAAGTAAAATTCGGTATATCCTCCCTCTGCAGTACTTTCCCATCCGAACATTTATTAAATAATCATTACGGTATGTTACTTACATCTCATTCCGTTATTTATGTGTGTATTCTATATTGCAAAATGTATTTTATCTTTTCTGTTTCTACTTCCGTTGTCACAATGAGTATAAATGTTAAATATTGCAAAGTGTATTGTGCATGTACTTCTACTTCCATTATCTACATGAGTATAAGTGTGATATACTGCAAATGTACTGTATGTTATTTATTTCTTCTTCTGTTATCTCCATGAGTATTCATATTAAATAATTATAGTGTAGTGTTATACGAAATACATATTTAATTTATATGTCTTGATTGTATTTACAATTATTTAGCAGTCTTAATTTTTTACTACAGCCATTTCGAATAACTTTATTTGAGCTTATATTATTATAAAATTTGATAATTCACTGAATTACATTTATACTTATTTTTTAGGTTACATGGTTCCAGACGTGATGCCAATGGACATGTTAATCAGGTTGAAAATTCAACATTTCAATTTCTTTATATTTCGAATAGTCTTACTCCCCAGGGGGGAGATTTGATGATAACTTTTCGTAAACGACGTAACACTACTTATGGCTGGAGACGGCGTGAATGGGTAATGAAGAAAGACTTTAATATAAGTTTAACATAACAGCAAATGTACAACGTTTCGACAAGGTTTTGTCATCATCAGGTGTACATTTGCTGTTATGTTAAACTTGTATTAAAGTTTTTCTTCATTACCCATTCAAGCCGTCTCCAGCCATTATTAGTCTCAAAGTGGGTTCCTCGTCACCGAATTTGACGTAACACTACGCTATATTGTCGGAAAAACTACAACTTCTAGTGATTGAAGAAGGTCTACACAGAGCAAAATGCAGTACTTTCCTTTCTTCTAAACTGTGTGAAATGACTCTCTAACATTATTACCAAGGTACAGTGTCTTGCAAAAGTATTCACCCCCCTGCAAAGTTTCCACATTTTGTTGCCGTCTGAGTTTGCAATCATGGAACTTTCAAATGGGACTTTATTCTTAGAATCTATACAAACTACTCCAAGCTGAGAAAGCTAAAAGAAAAAAAAACGCTGATATTATGTAAGTAAGTTAGATTTTCAAAGAAAATTAGAATATTCTCAATTGATTAAGTAATCATTCCCTTTACTACGGCAAACCAGAATCAGTTCAGGTGCAAAATATTAGTTTGAAAGGTCGCAAAATTAGTATAATGGTCTATGTGTATGTGTAATCAAAGTGGTTTAACTTGATTTCAGAGCAAATGCATCTGTTCAAGCCACAACTCACATAGTGATATAACAAACCAACCATGAAGACCAAGGAGCTTTCAAAACAAGTCAGGGATAAAGTGGTAGAGAAGCATAGATTAGGAGGAGATCACAAGAAAATTTCAAAGTCGCTGATTATCCCTTTAGGTTTGGTGAAGTCTATCATTAAGAAGAGGATTGTGCTTCATACCACCCAGTCACTACCCAGATCAGGCCGCCCTTCCAAACTAAGCAGCCGGTCAAGCTGGAAACTGATTAGGGATGCTACAGTGAAGCCAACAGTGACTTTGAAAGATGTTGTTTGTTTTGTTTTTAATTATCCACAAAGCTACACAAGGGCTATCTGTGCTCTGCCCACCACGGGTATCGAAACCCGGATTCTAGCGTTGTAAGTCCGCAGACATACCGCTGTGCCACTGAGGGACTTGAAAAATGTGCAAAGTTCCATATCCGAGGGCCTGGCATGTCCAGGTGGTTAAGGCGCTTGTCTCGCAATCTGAGGGTCGCGGGTTCGAATCCCATTCCCACCAAACATGCTCGCTCTTTTAGCCTTGGGGGCGTCATAATGTGACGGTCTGTTCCACTATTTGTTGCTAAAAGAGTAGCCTAAAGACTAACTGCTAAATTAGGGACAGCGAGTGTAGATAGCCCTTGTGTAGCTATGCGCGAAATTCAAAAGAAACAAACAAAACTCATGTCGCTACATAAACCAAAAATTAGAGTTCTTATATTTCAAGCATATGTATCATAGTAACATTGCTAAAATAGTT